TATCAGATGCTCTCACTGAGAATATGGAGGCTCCAGGAGCATTATTTTCAAATATGTAGAGCTCAAGAAAATTACTAGAAAATTCAGGCTGGTTGTCATTCACATCTGCTACTTGGATGCTTAAAGTTTTGATGGATGATAAGGGCGGCTGGCCTAGATCTGTTGCTGTAATTGTGATGTCATAATGGGGCACAAGTTCACGATCCAAACGCCCCTTTGTCACCAGTGAATACATATTATCTTGAAAAGAGGGTTTCAACTCGAAAGGAACATTCTTTGAGAGACTACATGCAACTTTACCATTAACACCAGAGTCTTTATCTGAGACACTAATCAACGCAATTACTGTTCCAGGTTTACAGTCTTCAGCAACAATATTAGATAATGAAGTCAGCTCAATTTCAGGCATATTATCGTTTATATCTTGTATTTTTATAATAACTCGACCTTGGGCAGACAAAGGAGGCTGACCTTTATCTGAAGCCTGAACATCCAGTTTATAAACGTCTGTGTCCTCAAAGTCTATCTCGCCTTTAACCTTGATTTCGCCTGTAATGCGATCCAACTGAAATATGTCATAAACTTTGCGCTTTAAAGTTTTACCAAGCGAATACTCAATTTCACTGTTTGGGCCCTCATCGCTATCAGATGCATTTATTTTAATCACAGTCGTTCCAATTGGGGGATTTTCCTGTAAACTGACAGAATATGTGTCTTGACTGAACACGGGACGATTATCATTACTATCCAATACAGTAACGGTTATGTTAAGGGTACCTGATTTTGGAGGGTTTCCACCATCGAGGGCTTTCAAAATTAGCAGGTGTTCTGACTTGTGTTCGCGATCGAGTGTTTTTTTCAACACTAAAAAGGGGATTTTTTCCTCATCGCTGTTTCTGATGTAAATCTCGAAATTTTCATCCTGACTCAATTTATACAAACGAACAGAATATGGCGAGGCATCCTGGTCTCGTGCAGCGTGCAGCTGAAAGCTCGTTCCTATAGGGGTGTGCTCTGCAATCTCGAAATGTTGATTCTGTTCAGAAAAACTAGGATGGTTGTCATTTATGTCTGTTACTTCAACTGCAACATAGTGAATTTCTAAAGGATTTTCGACCGCAGTTTTTAGATTTACTACGCATGCACCGTTTCCATCACAAAGCTCCTCTCTGTCTATGCTTTTATGAATATACAATTCGCCATTGTTCTGATTTACTTGGAAAAACGCATCTTTAGAACCAGAGACGATACGGAACCGTCTGTCCACCAAAGTACTCACGTCAAGTCCCAGATCCTTAGCAATATTTCCCACAACAGATCCCTCTTTCATTTCCTCTGGAACAGTGTATCTTATCTGAGCTGAAACCTGCGGTCCGAAGCAGAGAAGAAAAGAGAAACACAAAGCCATCCACCAGTTCTGCCATCTGCGCCTTTGTTCATCCATCGTTAAGAATTCCTTTAAAACAGCTTAAAACAAATAACGGTGGTGTTCAGTTGAAATGGCCTATTTCCAGATGCAACAATCTTGATTAAATGACATCGATACAACTCTAGAACATTTATATTTCCGCTTCTCGCGATATACTCGTCAGCTGCTGTCACAGTTTAACTGAACGGAACAGCCATGCGCACCACATGTAGATAGGCAGGGCCAAAGCTCTGCTTCATATCCTAATGTAACACTGACACCGCATGGTACAAAATGAGAGTTGAATCTAGACTCTAACGTAAAAACAATATAAAAAAATTTCAAAAAGCAATTTTGAAATACTGTTCAACTCAAGACAATTCATAACATTTTAACAATATTGCAGTCACCCGGCTTAGACATAGTGAAAAAGTATTTTTCAAACAAACTATGAAGCGAAAGGATTATTACCCTATAAGGTGAAACATTTCAGCACCACGGACAACGAATATTTATTCCAGCGTTCAACGCTTAATTCCCAAGCAACACTGAATAAAGAGAGCTCTTATTAGTCAGAACATAAAATATCCCACATAGTCAATTAGATCCTGAAAAAAAAGTCAAATTTGATGACAGTAAGCCTGAGAAAGTGCTGTTTAATATAATTCACATACTCTTACCTCTCCAGAATCTCTCCTCCTGCGATCTGGGATCACTAGAGCATTTCCATTACTGCC